AAATCTTCAAAGAAAGAGCAGGAAAAGTTACAGGAACTTCAGTAAATAGTCTAAGTTATGCTATAAGCACCTGATAACCATGTGAAAGATGCCCACCATGTGGCAGATCAAGTGCCATGATTCTCTCATGAGGTTTCAGCAGTGCCGTGTAAACTTGAAAGTTAGCAGGGGATCCAGATAGTGACTGCACGTTGACTGCAATAAATAAGGCATGTGTTGTCTTTAACAAAGCGCTTACAATGAAGATTGCATCACATAATTAAATATGATAACAGAGAAGAATGTAAAAATCCAAATTTAAAACATTCTTTCTGTTCGTTTCAGTTTAGCATAAATATCCCTTTTACAACTAGTAAAGTGGGTGTTAGCTATACATCATTATACGCCTAGCAGCAAGAAAATGTAAAAAAGGTATGCATGGTGAATTAACTTCAATCAGAAGAAAACCAACAAGGTTTGCTGGGCATTTTCCCACCCTACCTGCCTGGATGTTGTGAGTACAATGAATTTCATTTTATGCTAGCAACTAAACAACGACAGTATTTCCTACTTCACCCCTTTTTACGGGGCTTTCTTCTCTCCTGAGTTTCCTGATCGTTTTTTTTGGTGAAATTAACCAATTTCTAAATTATTTTGCCAGACACCAGAAAAGTTTCCAAGAAAATCCACTCGTTGCACCCATTAAAACTTCAAAATATAATGCTTGAGCAACCATCGCATTTTATTTAGATTTTCCTACTATGCCAAGCTAAGGAAATGCCTTATCATACAGTCTGAAGCACCAAACCAGAATGTATAAAGATGTTCGAGTGTTCAAAATAATATGTAAAGGACAACAAGAAGGATAAAATATATGAACAAATAGTCAGTGAAACTTCATCTTGCAATGTCAAAATATAGAAATACGAACCATTTCACTTACCTCCCCATTTTTGAGGATCCAACCCAAAAGCTTCTAATGCACGCTTCTGACATAACGTCTCAGCCATGTCAATGTACCTAATCAGAGAAAACCTCAAACATTAAGTAACGCAGGTACATTTCTCTAACAAAGCAAGGTAGCCACACGAAACGAACAACGATTCCAGATGTGGAAATGGAACAACAACAACATGAAGTTGATTGATCCGATTATTCACATACTCATTTCCTCCATAATATCTAGCCCCTGGGTACCCTTCACTGTATTTATTGGTCATAACCGAACCAACCGCTTGCATCACCGACACCGACGTGAAATTCTCTGAAGGAATGAGTTCCAATCCCTACAAAATGACATGAATATCCCCAATCATTACCTAGCAGGGTAAAATCAATTAAGAAGCTAACAAGATTATTTTACCTTCCATTGCCTTGCTTTCTCGAGTTCGATGATGTCAGCAATTTCCGGATCGATTTCCTCTAACGGAGCATTCAATTGCTTTATCCACTGAAATTATTATTATTATTATTACTACTACTACTATCAATTAACAAGAGCAATAGGAGATCCGGTTAAACCGAGATCTCAAGAGAAAATGATGGCTTACATTGGCGCGAGCTGTGCCTTCGTCGGGCAGAGCTTTATGAGGCAAAGAAGACTGTCGAAAATCAAATCGAAATGAATCAGATTGAAAGAAAAAGAGACGAGTCTTGCTCAATTAAGCCATGGCGCGAAACAAAACAATAGATACCATGTTGCAATAGAGAGAACCGCCATTGAGGTAAGGTTTGATTGGGTTCCTGAGGGAGGAAGAGAGCCTGCGAAGAGCAATGGCCATTGCTATAATTGCTATGTTTTTCTAATAGAGGACGCTCTGTCACCGCTGCTAGTGTTGCGATTTCTATTTCAATTCTACTAGAGGCGATTTTCTATTTCTTTTCTTTTTTTAATTTTTTTTTTGGGTTGGTGAGAGTGCGGTTGGTGATGACTGATGACTTAGAATCTGTTTTATTTTTTAATGTAGGAAAAATACAAAAAATGCTGGGAGAGGTCGTCCTCCCAGATCTACGAATCTCTGTAGCTTAAGCATTTCGCTGGGAGTTCAAATAACCTGCCATTTAAAATACTGGCCGACGTGTTGTTCCCATGTGATTTTGCATGTCGTTTTACAAGGCAGACCTTGACTCATCCTTGGCTTCATTTCCAAAATTATCTGCTACTTGCTGTTAAAAATTATACAATATATTAAAAACACTCGATGCCCCTCTCAGTATTTATCTTGACTATTTATCTTGATATGAATTGTTTATAGGTTCGAGCCATATAATGATAAAATTATTATCTATAACAAAAAACTAGTTAAGTAGTGTAATGGAGTGAAATTATCTTCTTCAAAAAAATATTAGAAATAAAATGATCATTTTAAATTTTGTTAGAGAATAATAAGAGGCACTGCCTCGCACTTAGTGTTAGAATGAGGTATAATTGTTAGACTATAGACACCTGTATTAAGTAGAATAGCCAAATTTTATACGCTCGGGTCGAATATAACAGTCAGAATCAAGATTTTTGGATCTATTGTCTTGACTTAAACTCTTAGATTAAGTATTGCAGTCAACCCAAGGTTTTAGAATCTAATATTATAGTCAGGCTCAAATTCAAAATTTTTAGATCTAGTATGTTTCAACTAAACTTATACTCAAGATTTTTGAATCTGACTTTGTAAATAGATCCAACATTCTTAAGTCTTAGTATTTTTTTATACTAAAAAAATTGATTTGTATTGTAGCGCAGTACACCTAACTAGGTAAAATTATTAAAAAGAGTCAAATTGTTCATAAATTCAATATAATTTCTTAAAAATTAACTTAATTTATTAATAAGGTTTTGAATAAAGAGAAAGTCGTAAATATATTTATTTAGAAATAGTTTTAACTTTAAATCAAGATTTTATCACAAAACTTAGAGTTAAAACTTTGCTATAATAAAAAAATAAATTTCAACTTATAAATACAATATTTCTTCATCGTAAAAAATAAAATTTAAGTCATTTTTACCAAATATATTTTTACTTAATAAAATTACTTTAACTCCTTTTGTCTTAAAATATTTATTAAAAAAAATTAAAATTATGACTTAAAGTTAAAAGCTATAATTCAAAGTCATACATAATGAACTTTTAGGGTGTGTGTGTATAGTTTAGCTGGATGAATTAATTTAAATATATTTTTAAAACCTACTATATATGTAAATGAGCATAACTCAATATCTTATTATTAATTTTATGTGGATGAGTCAAATCACTAAAGAGCTATGTTTATAAACAAGTTAATTTAATTAATAGCTAAATAATTAGTTCATATAAAGTGCTAGAAGTTTCACTAAATTATTTATTTTTACGAGTTACTAACTTCATATTATTTTATTTTTCTTGATAAATAGTTGAAAATCTATTAAACAAGAAATTAAAAAATAATAAAAAATTTAATACGAGGAATTAAAACAAGTCAAATGAAAGTGTATATGTTCCAACCCGTTTTTTATTGGACAAATATTTAAAAATTTAATTAATAGACAACAAAATGCGGAGGGAAAAGAGTATGTTATGTAATAGTCTAGTTTAACCTGTTATATATTATTTGTTTTGATTTTTTTATTTTTATTTCTAATGATATAAGCTTGTTACTAAACCTGATACCCCAAAATACATACAACAATTCTGTAACTAATATTATTAATAAAACCAATAATTAACTTTCTCACTTATGAGAATTTATAATTCATTATTTTTAGGAAGCTCGATAATTCTATTGGTATTATCGAATAATTAGTGAGGTAGGTTTTGATAACAAATATAATAGCCCAACACAACTTATCATATATTATTTACTTTGAATTTTTCACCCTCATAATTTTATATATGATGATGTGAGCTATTACTAGACCTAATATCCTAAAATATATATAATATATTAGCAATCAACAGTATAATTAAAACCAATAATTAACTACTCACACGTGGACATGAGATATTACATGTTATCTACTTAAAAGTGCCATATTATTAGGACAGTGACGCAGTCAAGCTTCCTGAACATATATCAAAGACTAATTCCTTGCTTATCAAACTAACTTCTTATCTTACCGTCCAGGTGGCAGCTCTCCCCACCGGACGGTTTTTTAGCTAATGCTCTGCCTAAAACCAAGTTTAACATTCCTGGTTTAGAGAACAGAGAGCTCTCACCGAATCCTTTGAACGACAATTACCTTACAAAAAACAGTCAAGGCTATGAATGAAGTAATGAACTAAGGTGAGTGGGGTCGTCTCAACTAGAAATAGTTCTAACGGCTTTTCAGTGGAATATAATAATTGACAATGTACTTCCCACGATTATAATAGTTGATCAATTAATGAATTGATTACATGTTTAATAAGGCCATAACAATTTGATCTAAGAGTAAAGTTATATTTATAAAATTAAATGCAGCATGTTCAAATAACTTGTTTTATAGTGTGTTTTATCATGTATGAATTATTAAATATTTTTTAAAATTATTTTAAGTTGTTATTTTATTATTTCCAATGCAAATATTAAACTTCTTATTAAACTTTAATTATTAATAGTTTTGAAGATATTTAATAAGTTTTTTTTTAGTATAATTTTTATCATGTTTTAGATTTGATGATGTTGGGTAATCATCTATGAAATGTGGATATTTAAGACCTTTTAATTTAGTATTTGTAGTTTTTGATGAATTTTAGCCGTATTAGAGAAATATATGTTAAAGACAGAAGAGAATTATTTAAAAGTAGAAGAGGTGAAAAAGAAATAAATTCTCTTAATGGACAATGAAAGCTCCGTTTATAGAACCTAACAGCTAAAGCATTTAAATGTTACAAAAAAATAAATAAAAAAAAGATTGAGTTGAGTGAACGACTCCTCCAGGGGCAGGGGCGGGGGCTTTAATAGTAAATGCATAGCACGCCAATTCTGTTAGCAACAGGACCTGACGTGCCAAAACAAACTCCCCCCCTTCCCTGGATCCGCTCCAGATAGAAAACTGCCTCTCCCTCTCACTCTCGGATACCTTCGACAACCAATGGATTCTCTTGAAATAGAAGGGAAACCCCAAAACCCGAACATGAACGAAAATATTGAAGAAGACGACGGCGTGTCTCCCATTGAGGAGGTCCGTCTAACTGTCCCAACACGCGACGATCATACCCTTCCAGTATGGACCTTTCGGATGTGGTTCCTTGGAATAGCCTCATGCATTATTCTATCTTTTCTGAACACTTTCTTTTCCTACCGGACCGAACCTCTCACAATATCTATGATATCGGTACAGGTTGTGACTCTCCCTGTTGGTCGCTTCATGGCCAAAACCTTGCCTACTACCAAGTTCAGGGTTCCTGGATTTGGTGGTCGCGAGTTTTCGCTTAATCCTGGGCCTTTTAATGTTAAAGAGCATGTGCTCATTTCCATTTTTGCTAATGTGGGGAGCTCAACTGCCTATGCCGTTGGTATTATCGATATAATTATGGCTTTCTATAAAAGGAAGATATCGTTTTTGGCTAGTTGGATTCTTGTTTTAACTACTCAGGTAATTTATTTATTTATTTATTTTATTTTTATGTATGGTTGTGGTTGAGATGTGTTGTTTTTGCAATGTGAATGATGCAAAGATGCTGGGGTACGGGTGGGCTGGGATCATGAGGAAGTATGTGGTGGATCCAGCAGAGATGTGGTGGCCGCTTAGTCTTATGCAAGTTTCTCTCTTCAGGTAATATTATGTCCTGGAGATCATTTTTTTTCTCTAGGAATTTACAAGGGTGAGATTGGGAACATGATTGCCCATGTTTGCCTTCTCTACTTTAGAGAATTCCATTGTTTAATGTGGGGGTGGCTAAACGAGCCTTGTCCATATTATTTATCATCAATCAGGATCACGACAATGCCACTGAAAAAGAAAAGGAAACTAACGCGTGCCCTGCTTTCAAATCCAAGCTGACTGGAGGAAAATTGAATCCCTCTTTTCTTTTCTTTTATGGCTGTATAAAAAAATGTATAAGCTCCTTACAATGTAGAGAGAGAGAATATTTAAGCTCATCACGATGGAATTGTTCTCTGAACCTGCAAAATTTAGCATTGTTTTGGTATCCCTGTATAGCACTGCCGTTAACATTTAAGTGAAAAAGGAGCAACTAACCATCGATACTAGTTGTTCATGCTCTGTCTCTTTAAGCTCTTCAATTTCAATACTTGAAACAGGATTAAATCTTAGTCACTGCCTTTTGCTATTACCTTACATTTTGCAGGGCTCTGCATGAGAAAGATAACAGCCGCATGTCACGAGGGAAATTCTTCTTGGTCGCTCTAATCTGTAGCTTCTCATGGTATGTGTTTCCTGGATACCTTTTCCCTGCTATTGGAACCATTTCGTGGGTCTGCTGGGCATTCCCTAAGTCAGTAACAGCCCAGCAGCTTGGCTCAGGAATGAGAGGACTTGGTATTGGAGCTTTCGGACTTGACTGGTCTGTCATAGCCTCGTTCATTGGCAGCCCACTTATCACCCCGTTCTTTGCCGTTGTCAATGTCCTTGTGGGATATGCTGCATTTATGTACGTAATACTACCAATAGCATACTGGCGTTTGAATATCTACAATGCAAAGACGTTTCCAATTTTCTCCTCACATTTATTTGACAATAAAGGACACGTGTATAACGTATCCGCCATAGTTGACAACAACTTTGAGCTAGATGAGGCCGCATTTCAGAGGCAAGGAAACATAAATTTGAGTGTGTTCTTTTCGCTGACGTATGGGATTGGTTTTGCTGCCATTATGTCCACCCTCACGCATGTGCTCATGTTTAATGGAAAGTAAGTAAAGGATTTAGTGCTTTGATTAGGGTTGCCAGAATTGCAGTCATTAGATATTTACTGGGATATGATTTGATTGACTATTCCGACAGGGAAATATGGCAACAGTTTCGAGCTTCGTACAAGGGCAAGATGGATGTTCACACAAGATTAATGAAGAGGTATGAGGACATTCCTGGCTGGTGGTTCCACCTGACGCTAGTGCTGTCTTTTTTACTTTCTCTCGTACTGTGCATTGTAATGAAAGACCAAGTCCAAATGCCGTGGTGGGCGCTCATCTTTGCGTCAGGCCTTGCTTTGATTTTTACGCTTCCAGTTAGTGTCATAACTGCCACAACAAATCAGGTACTCATCTTTACTCTTTTAATAAATACCCATTTCTTCTCAGGATAATTGCATTATTAGGATACCAATTTTACATTTTTCCTGCATGATTCTAAATTCAAATATGAAGGCAATTTAATTTCGTGCTATTTACTCATTTGATAACTAACATCATTGCTGTTATTCCCCTTCTATTGCCAGACACCAGGGTTAAACATCATCACAGAGTACATTATGGGTCTAATTTACCCTGGTAGACCAATAGCCAACGTCTGCTTCAAAACCTATGGGTATATAAGCATGACTCAAGCTGTTTCCTTTCTCAGCGATTTCAAGTTAGGTCACTACATGAAGATTCCACCAAGATCCATGTTTGTAGTGCAGGTATCTCTTATGCTTGACTGTTTATAGTTTGACTAATTGTATTTTTCCAAATAGTATCTTGTCTTGACTCTTTCATGTGTGCCTGTTCGCTGCTTCTGTAAAGTGCATAGGTACTCTAATAAATGGAACACTGAACACTGCAGTGGCATGGTGGTTGCTGACTGGCATTGAGAACATATGCCAGGACGAGCTACTCCCTCCAAACAGTCCATGGACATGTCCTGGCGATCGAGTTTTCTATGATGCATCTGTCATTTGGGGTTTGATTGGACCTGCTCGAATCTTTGGTCGACTTGGAAACTACACAGCACTCAATTGGTTCTTCCTTGGAGGAGTGCTAGGACCTGTTCTGGTTTGGGGGCTACACAGACTTTTCCCCAAGCAGAAATGGATTAAATTAATTAATCTTCCTGTACTTTTGGGATCAACAGCTGCAATGCCACCAGCTACAACGGTAAACTTCAATTGCTGGATTGTGGTTGCAATAACTTTCAACTACTTCGTCTTTAAGTTCCACAAGGTTTGGTGGCAGAGGTACAACTATGTTCTTTCTGCTGCCTTGGATGCTGGTTTGGCTTTCATGGGAGTTCTTCTGTACTTCAGTCTGACAATGAAGGAGATCAGCCTAAACTGGTGGGGTGCTGCTGGCGAGCACTGTCCCCTTGCTACCTGCCCAACTGCCAAAGGTGTTATTGTTGATGGGTGTCCTGTTTATTAGTTCAGTTAAGTTGTTACTCCAAGCTGCTTCGTTTGAAAGGTCAAGGAAAAAAAAAGACGAATAAAGTTTTTCAGGTTTGGAAGTGTTGACCATGTTTAAGAAAATCTTGGTCATGGCTTGACAAACTTAGGAGGGTTCACCAATTGTACTTATGCTAAGGTGAACGCTTATCGAGCATGCTGACTTCTTAGATTTATTAGAGATTAGCAAATCAATTTTTTTTTTTTGGTTCTTTGTTTCTATCCTCCTTTCCAGGCATTGCATAATCTAGCTGGACAGTTGAAGATTTTGTATTAAACTGCAGCCAGGCGGACAGATGGATACATGGTTCCACCTTTTCCAAGTTCCTTCTGAAATCTCAATTAAGGCCGAGCAGCCCAACGACTAAGAAACGGGTCCGAGGTAGACTTTGCATGGGAGAACAGTCGGCAATCCTCTCTTTCTTGGTCTTTACAGGATCAATTTGGTGAGGACAGGCCCATCCCAGAGTTCGAATTCAACTTCAGCCATTAACCTAAGCTTAGTTTGGGAAGAACATTTCCATTACCGATTTGAATATGAAAGCCAGAACTGATGTCTATTTATCCCGACAGCTTACAAAAATAAATGGACATCTCTCAACGAAACTTCCACACAAAATAAATCAATATCATCACTTTTTTTTAGCATGAAAAAGCAATAACTTGAATGCAGAGATGTTAAGAGTCAAAACTTGAAGGCATATTCGTTAGTTGGCATCATCTCCGTTTCCTTGAAATATCAAAAATCTGTATCCAATCCATGTACTACGTTATATCAATGCAGACGGATACTCTAATGAAATATGAAGGTTAGTTGTATAATGCTATTTTCTTACTGAATAAAAAAGAGTTTAAAACATCGTTCAAGAAGAATTAGGCGTATTCAGCATAATACCAGGACACCAATTCTCTCGGAAGAAACTCTGTCAACCAGCGCTCTGTCTTTTATCTTCTTCAAGTGATCTTGATGGAGGTGGAGCAAACCTTGAAAAGAACCCGGGATATTCATCATCCTCGATATCATCATTGTCCCAGCTACCATCATCAAAATTTTGAGCATAGCTCAAGGGAGAGTACATAAAACGTCCTCCAGCTGGGACTTTTGGTTTTCTATTGTTTCTCGTGAGAGTTGCTGTTAAATTGCAACCTATAGCACTTCTCTTCTGTCCTGGAGACGTTGTGGTGTTGCTGGTTATTCTTCTTTTAGTCCATGGAAACTTCAGGTACTTGAGTCGACCCCAACATGACAGCGGCCCTTCTTCTTCTATATTTCTAGGAGACGAAGTTCTCTCCATCAGTGCAGCTTTTCTTCCTTCGAAACGACGATGAAATTAATATTATTCTTTTTGAACGATTGTGGGCTCTCTTCTTTCGTGTGTCCGTGTCTTTCCCTCTCTCCACTTTTTTTTGTAGGGATTTTGCATGTGTGGTGGAGAAGATTTCACAAGATCATGTGAACAAGTTTCCTTTTGTTTTTAATGGAAAAGGAGGAAGCAATAGCATAAAGAAGGGAAGGGTTGATGTTGGACGATCAAGAAACGATCTGTCAATATGACTTGATTTCTAGTTACAAATTTCTGAGAACCTGTGCAGGAAGAAGCTATATATAGCATGGGCAAAAATTCGCAGGAGGAATTAAATGAAATCTACCAGCTTATATATTGTTGTAGGTTATAATTGGCAGTCATTCCTGACGATTTCCCTATCTACTGCCTCTTTGCTTAAACTTGTGAACCCTAATTCTCGGAAGATTTATATTTTCAACAGGGAATCGTATCATGACATGCCTAGCAGTGCTGCGGCTACCTGAAGAGTATCTAGTACTGATCTGATCATATCACAGTTAATAACTTGATTAATTGAAACGAATCAAGGGATTTATCGCTAATAATTATAAAGATGATATTTATTATTGTGGTTTAATTATATTTAAAAAAATTATTTTTTTTATTTTTTTAAAACGTTTTAATATACCAATATTATAATGAATTTAAAAAAAAATAAAAAAATATTTTTAAATAAAAAATATTTTAAAAAAATATCTATAATACTTCCAAATAAACATTAACTTGTCATTAACTTTCTTTAAAACTTGGGCTCCTGGAGTTCCAGTCCACTCTCAATATTTTTTTTTCCCTTAATATTCCTAATCATACTGTTTATATTTTTACCAAATTGACTTCAGAGTAAATTTAGCATGGTTAGAAGAAATAACTTTTTAATTTTAAGTACATTTTTTTCATAAATGAATTATATAATGAATTAATTTTATTTTTTTTTAAGAAGAAGAGAGTATAACTTAGGATTTTCGGAATTTAGAGTTTCTTTGGTATGATTTATAAGAAACTAATTCTAAATTTGAATTATAATTTAAAAGTTGTTTTCATGAATAACTTATGTCAAAAATAGGTCAAAATAACTTCAATTATAGAAATATATTTTGTAAAAATGGATCAAATCAACTCTTTGAGAACAAAAATAGATAATATAAGTTGGAATCCAGAAATTAAGTATTAATCTTAACTCAATTTTCTTATAAACTTTTGATTTAAGTCTGGTCAGAAATATCTTTGACTTTTTTGTGGTAAAAAAAATGTAAAAGTTATACCAAACAATAAATTTTAATTTATTTTATAACAAACTTTTGCCTCGAGTCAGAAGTTTTTTCTAATGATTTTTTTAATCAAAAGTTAAAAATGGTTGATATTTTTCTGTATGTCTATTCCGCAAGAATGTTATGTAAGATTATTTTTTGTTTGTGGAACTCTGTTTGTGCAGGCCACGAGATTGTTCGATGGAGCAGGAATATTGGAAGCTTATGTAAAGAAATATTCAGGATGCATTACTGAAATCACTTGCCCTAACAATTCTGCTCCTTTCAATTCTTGTTATTATCCTGCTTCTTTTCTTCTTTTTTATCTGGTGATTATCTTTTTATGTGGGATTCAGACGGCATATACAACTACAGTACACATCAGGCTCGTCCTCTTACCAGGCACCTGTCCTACTACCCACCATTAGTTCCTCTCCACTTTGTTTTTGTTTCTAAAAATCTCTTTTTCCCTTTTCCATCCTGCTGGAGGACCACTTTATTCCATATTTTATCATCATGGCTCTTACCAGGAATGTCCAGAATCATAACATGTGCGAGTAAACTTGCGGAAAGATCCATTTTCGTAACAAGGAGTGCCAGAAGCTGTTTGAAGTCAAATGCACTGTTGCTGAATACTTGCAAACAGCAAGGCAATAAGAATGGGCTAAAATTCCCAACCATCTTCAGTGGCCACGGAGAGCACCAACGAAAGGAGCAATTATCTAATTCCCTGTTGCATAATAACTTTACCTTCGCAAACAATGTCGATGTTTCGGGAAGCGTATGGTCCAAAGATTTTTAATGCTCGGATGTTTCAAATAACATTACGGTTTTACAGGAGAGGCAAAAACCACAAAATCATGTCAAGAAACAAAATGCTCATGCCCGCGTATAAAATAAACAGATTATAAGAACTAAGCAGCAGGAGATGTGTCAGTATAACTCTATATGAAAGCTGATGGCAGCATGATCAGTTTGAACAATCATGCAAGCCCATTGTTCAACTTCAATCGTGTCCGCAGTTCAATCGTGATGCATTCATAATCACCAAAAGCTCAGTTTTTTCTGGAACTTTTTTTTCCGGAGCTCATCCTTCCTCTATCTCCAAACAAAAGGAGAGAGATGCATCTCACAAGTTAATACTACGAAAAACACCATCATATTAATAAAAGATTTCAAGTGCAAGCTGAAGAAGACAGCAAGCTCGAATAAGCATTACTTGCAGCTCAAACAAGGATAGACCGAACATTCATCAGAATCATGGAGCACACCCAAGACCAAATGAACTGGGGGACAAGGGCTACAGAGACTAACAAAACTGAACTTGAATTTGCTTATTGTGAATTGCAAATTCAAGCAAGAGATGAGCTCCTGAAAATAATTAATTGAGAAAGAGCGAGGCTCATGAAATCAAGGTAACATTAGAGACCAGTAATCCAGTGCAACAGATGACACAAATTGCAAGCTACAGCCTGACTACCACCTGTTCTGCTGAGCTTTTCTTGACAACTCCTCTTGAGCACAGCTCGTTTAACAACTCCAAAGCCTCCTTAGCTAAACCTTCATTAGCTATGCCTTCAATGAGAATGGTGTATGAAACTTCAGTGGGTTTACATCCCTTAGATATCATATAAGCCAGGAAGTCAATTGCACGATAAGTCTGTTGAGCCTTGCAAAGTCCAAACATGATAGAGTTGTAGGTGAAAGCATTGGGTTTGACCCCAAATCCTTCCACATCATGAAAAAACTTGAGTGCTTCTTCAACCTTTCCTTCTCTACTAAGCCCAGCAATAAGTGAGGAATAAGTGATGACATCAGGCTTCAAACCCTTTCCACGCATCTCATGCAGTAGTTCTACAGCTTGATCTGTTTTCCCCACCTTTGAGAGCCCATCAATCACAGTATTGTAGGTGATTAAAACAGGTGAGCACCCTTTACTACTTAGCTGATTAAGTAGCTCAACTGCAGCATCAACCTTCCCATCTTTACATAAAGCTGTAAGCATAGTATTATAGGTCACAATATCAGGATAGCAGCCTCTAGACACCATTATCTCCAAATACTGAATTGCCCTGTCCATCTTCTTTTCTTTGCAAAAGCCATGGAGCAATGGATTGTAGCTCAAGGAATTTGGAGTGCATCCATGCGTTGGCATCTTCTCCAATATGTCAATTGCTCGACCTAGCAAACCCTTACGGCACAAGAAATTAATTAAGATATTGAAAGTAACAACACTGGGAGAACAACCTTTACGAACCATTTCAGTCAGTAGTTTCTCTGCATCCATCCACCTGCCTGTGCTACACATGCTACGCAAAATAATATTATGTGTAATGACATTAGGCTGGGATCCATATGATGGCATGCTGTTTAAGAACTTGATAGCTTCGTCCAATCTCCCTTCCTTGCACATCCCATTGACAAGAACATTATATGTAACCACATCCGGTTTGCATCCTCTGCTTCGCATCTCATCTAAGAGCTTCATGGCCTGTCCAACCCCACTCTCTGCACAAGTCGCCTCAATCAGTATAGTGTATGTAATCACATCTGGATAGCACTCCTTTTCCAGCTGTCGATCAAGAACTTCCATTGCTTGCTTCAACTTCCCACTATCACACAAGGTACGCAAGATCGTATTGTATGTAACAACATCTGGGGCAACACTCATCCGGTCCAAAACCCTTAAAGCATTATCAATCTCTCCCGCCTTGCAATACCCACTAATCAATACATTATAAGTTATAACATCTGGAACCGCTCCAGAATCCTCTATTATCTCCATGATCCGAGTCGCCTTCCTAGTCTTTCCAATCTTACAAAATCCTCGAATTAGGCTCGTGGAAGCAATTATATCCGGAATCTCCCCACGATAGACCATGTTTTCAAGAAACCTAAAACCCTCTTCTAATTCCCCATTTCTGACCAATTTACGAAGATGATTATTGCTCTCAAATTCCTCAATAGAACTCGAAGAAACATGTCCATTTCCCATATGCCCGTTTAGAGGCTTGTCGAGATTTTGCAATTTACCATTGGAACGAAAAGTTTCTACTCCCGAAATGGCAAAAACCCTACTCTTCCTTAACTTTCTAAACCCCACATGGACTTTCCTGCTTGAACCATCATTACCCCTAATTCTTGCTCCAGCAAAGCTACTTCTTCTAGTGGTGCAACTATTGAAGTACTGAAATGAGCGAAGCCCTTCATGGGTATGACTTGTAGGTACTATCAAATCCATAACCTGAACTACTAGTATAGAACAACCAATAAAACTCAAAAACTCATGCTACGAACAAAACAAGTTCGAGAACCCAGATGAAAATGAACTTTATACAGTGCTTTCAAAGGTTGAGGCGAATTTGGAATGAGACAATAAGTAGCTTACCGCGAGAGTTACAATGTTTTTGGTAGGAAGGTTTTGTGCCCGCCGCTTCTTGCTGCTTATCCAGTTTGTGTCTTCTTCCGGGTTCCGCATGCGAATATGCGTGCGAAAGATGGAAAATGTTTTTCGTCGGCTAATTAGGCCTGGAATTTATTTAGTTGGATTGGGATAAAAGAAAAAGGTTCCGGATTTTCAAGGGTCCAATGAAAAAGGATGGCAGGCCTGAGGGTGACGGCCCGTCAATTTAACGTGTTTAGCTACTTCGGTTTAACGGCATTTCTCCGAGTCCATGAGGAATTGCATCCTTGGCACAAGGAACCCAATGATCCTGATTAAAGCAAAACCGGGTCCTCAAGGTTTTGGTTTGGAGAATCGGCCCTTCCATCCAAATCCGTTAACTTGAAACATCAAATTTGAATTAAAGTTGTTTGTAGGACACTTGTCAATATTTTATTGGTTAATTTTGAGGTGACAATTGATAATTGAGCGAAGGGTGCTGCTTGCGTACAATAAATTCAAAGCGAGCACATGACAAATAAATATCGGTCCACGTTAATAAATTACATTATAAAGTAATAAAAAATAACATAATTTCATTAAAAAAAAAAGGAATATGAAAAGACGGCAGCACCAGCAATATATATAAATAAAATTAACACTAGAAAAAGGAAAAAACAATGCTAGAAAAGGGAAAAAAT